AAACTTCATAAAAATTTTAGGATATGTAGAATTTTTCATTGTGAACAACTTTATTTAATATAAAAAAATCGATTTACTTAATAAAAACTTAGCAAAAATAATGTTTCATTGTACCGCCATTACTTTCGCCGGGGACTGTATTATTGATTGTGATTGATTACTTTGTTTTGAAATTAATTCGTTATGAGAACGATAATATAAAATTTCAACCAAATATTTAAATGAAACAAGGAAAAAATTGACTCTCAACCTGAAAATTCGCTATACGTAAAAGATTTGGTTGGTTATGAAATTTGCATTTGGGTTTACTTTTTTTTATTATTAATATTATAAATGCTTAATTGTTTCTTGTAATTTTCACCTTCTTAATCTTACGGGTATTTAAATCTTCTTTTGAGTGCTTTAACAGATCACTTGGAACATTAGTATGCAGTATTTCGAATTTCTTTAATTTTTCTTATGTGAAATTGAAATATTATGGAGTGGGGTGAAATTCTGATCGGCTAATTTGAATTTCACGTATATATGTAAATTTGAATTTCACATATGTGAATTGCGAATTCACAATTTCATTTTCACGTACAACAGTAATATAAATTAGTGCACAAAAAAGGAACGTATCAAATTATTATTTTTTTTTAAAAAAATATTAAAAAGTTAAAATGTCTTTTATTAAGTTATTAACACAAGACAGAAAAGGATTGGTACTAAAATTTATAATGAAATGAATGATATCACTTATTCTGCTTTCCCAACTACTTCTGATTCTGACCTTGAAGGTGAAAAAAGTTATTTTTCACAATTAGTCAAAAAAAAAACAAAGAACCATTGCATAATTTCCATTTTCTGGGAGTTTTGTTATACCATGACAAGGGACAATCAAAGTTGATTTAATTTTACAATAATTCAATGCCTGAAGTTAATTATATAAATAAAATAATTAATTTAAAATAAATGGTTTAAATCAGTTTATTTTAAATAACAATCACCTCATCAAAAAAAGGTTTTCCTGGATTACTTGAACTATTTAACAATTTTAATACTACAGATTGAGTTCCAATATAATTAAACTCCTTTTTATTTTCATCATAATCATCAATATATCCTCTTGTCCACACAGCAGTATAAATAGAACTGAATTCACCCGCTGTTAATTTTTTTATATTGTAAAATTGCTCATAAGGTATCCATTCTATAATTTTACTTGGAAGAGATGAAAGTTGTTGCCATTTTTGAATAAAATCATCAATTATCTCATTTCCAGATGTCCATGTGCTGAAAAGGCTCTGTAAGTATAGGCTAATACACTTTTCACAATATTTATCAGAGTATCTTGTTGTTTTACAATTATTGCATTCTCTTGGTTCTCCACATTTATGAATTGCATTTGTTAATTCAAAAGCATAAATAAACCTTTCTTTACAATATTCCTTTTCATTTTCTAATAGTTTTTTATTTTCTTTGACTAACTGTAAAAATAACCTTTTTTTATTTTCAAGGTCAGGAACAGTTGGAAAAGCAGAATAAGCAATATTATTCATTTCATTACAACTTTTACATGCTAGTTCTCTTCTGTCTGGTGTTAACAATTTATTAAAGGCCATTTTTACTTTTTAATGTTTTTAAAAAAAAAAAAAAATTTTTTTGACGTATTCCCTTTTTTGTGCAAAAATTATTATTTCAACGAATTCTAATTTTTATTAATATTATAAATGCTTAATTAATTGTTTCTCTTGTAATTTTCACCTTCTTACATTAAAATCTTCTTTTGCGTGCTTTAACAGATCATTGGAACGTTAGTATGCAGTACCTCGAATTTCTTTAATTTTCCTACAGTAAAAATATTAAATATAGTGATAACAAAGAAAGTAAATCCAAATGCAAATTCGTATAGCAAATCTTTGACACATTTCCAGATTGAGAATCTATTTTACCTCGTTAAATGAATCTTCAGTCAAAACATTATATTATCATTCAATCAATCACCTGGACACAACAATACAATTTACTTCAAGAAAACGTTTCAAAAATGAAATGTAGTATTCATTTTACATTTAGCATTTGACTTGGAGATAATTTTGAATTTACATCAGGAAAATTATGTATTATATTAATTATTTAATCACAAAAACATATGTTTCAATTTATTTTCAAACTTTCTAGAAATAATAATAAATAAATTGTTAATAAATATGAAAAATAATGAAAATAATTAATAAATAGTGATTATCTACCTATCAACAATTCACCCAATTCTCCAACTATAACCTTATAAACTAATTATTATTATTATTATTATTATGATTATTATTATTATTATTATCATCATTGTAATTAAATAATAAATAATCATATTTAAATAATAGATTCAATTAATTAACCAACTATTTAATTTACCTTATTAAATTATATTTCATAATTTAATAAGCTATCATTACTTAAATTCAATTTAGCAAATTCGTCACTTAATATTCTACTTG